CTGTCTTGGTGATCACAGCTTTGTAGTAAAGCTTGAAATCAGGTAATGTGATGCCCCCAGTTTTATTTTTGTTTTTCAACATTTCCTTAGCGATTCGGGGTCTCTTCTGGCTCCATACAAATTTCTGGATTATTTGCTCCAGCTCTTTGAAAAATACCAGTGGAATTTTGATTGGAATGGCATTAAAAGTATAGATTGCTCTAGGCAGTATAGACATTTTAACAATGTTTATTCTTCTGATCCAAGAGCATGGAATGGTCTTCCATCTTTTTGCGTCTTCTTCAATTTCTTTCATGAGTGTTCTGTAGTTCCTCGAGTACAGATCCTTTACCTCTTTGGTTAGGTTTATTTCCAGGTATCTTATGGTTCTTGATGCTATAGTAGATGGAATCAATTCTCTAATTTCCCTTTCTGTATTTTCATTGTTAGTGTATAAGAAAGCCACTGATTTCTGTACATTGACTTCGTATCCTGCCATGTTACTGAATTGCTGTATGAGTTCTAGGAGTCTGGGGGTGGAGTCTTTTGGGTTTTCCATATAAAGAATCATATCATCTGTGAAGAGAGAGAGTTTGACTTCTTCATTGCCAATTTGGATACATTTTATTTCTCTTTGGTGTCTGATCGCTGTTGCTAGGACTTCTAATACTATGTTGAACAAGAGTGGTGAGAGTGGGCATCCTTGTCGTGTTCCTGATCTCAATGGCAAGGCTGCAAGCTTTTTCCCATGGAGGATGATATTTGCTGTGGGTCTTTCATAGATTTTATGAAGTTCAGGAATGTTCCCTCTATCCCTATATTTTGAAGTGTTTTAATCAAGAAAGGATGCTGGATTTTGTCAAATGCTTTTTCTGCATCAATTGAGAGGACCATATGGTTCTTCTCTCTTCTCATATTAATTTGTTCTATCACAATGATTGATTTGTGAATGTTGAACCATCCTTGTAGCCCAGGAATGAATCCCACCTGGTCATGGTGGATAATCTTTTTAATGTGCTGTTGGATCCTGTTTGCTAGGATCTTGTTGAGAATCTTAGCATCCATATTCATCAGTGATATTGGTCTGAAATTCTCCTTTTTGGTAGGGTCTTTGCCTGGTTTGGGGATCAGGGTAATGCTGGCTTCATAGAAAGAGTCTGGAAGTTTTCCTTCTGCTTCAATTTTTTGAAACAACTTCAGGAGAATAGGTGTTATTTCTTCTTTGAAAGTTTGGTAGAATTCCCCAGGGAATCCATCAGGTCCTGGGCTCTTGTTTTTTGGGAGGTTTTTGATCACTGCTTCAATCTCGTTACTAGATATCGGTCTATTCAGGTTGTCGATTTCTTCCTGGTTCAATTTTGGGAGTTTATAATTTTCCAGGAATGCATCCATTTCATCTAGGTTGCATAGCTTATTGGCATTTAACTGTTGATAATAACTTCTGATGACTGTTTCTACTTCCTTGGTGTTAGTTGTGATCTCTCCCTTTTCATTCATAATTTTATAAATTTGGGCTTTCTCTGGGCAGAAGATATGAACAGACACTTCTCCAATGAAGACATACAAATCGCTATGAGACACATGAAAAAATGTTCATCATCACTAGCCATCAGGGAGTTTCAAATTAAAACCACATTGAGATACCACCTTACACCAGTTAGAATGGCCAAAATTAGCAAGACAGGAAACAACAAGTGTTGGAGGGGGTGTGGAGAAAGGGGAATCCTCTTACACTGTTGGTGGGAATGCAAGTTGGTGCAGCCACTTTGGAGAACAGTGTGGAGATTCCTCAAGAAATTAAAAATAGAGCTTCCCTATGACCCTGCCATTGCACTACTGGGTATTTAACCCAAAGATACAGATGTAGTGAAAAGAAGGGCCATCTGTATCCCAATGTTTAGAGCAGCAATGGCCACGGTCGCCAAACTGTGGAAAGAGCCAAGATGCCCTTCAACGGACGAATGGATAAGGAAGATGTGGTCCATATACACTATGGAGTATTATGCCTCCATCAGAAAGGATGAATACCCAAGTTTTGTAGCAACATGGACGGGACTGGAAGAGATTATGCTGAGTGAAATAAGTCAAGCAGAGAGAGTCAATTATCATATGGTTTCACTTATTTGTGGGGCATAACAAATAGCATGGAGGACAGGGGGAGTTAGAGAGGAAAAGGGAGTTGGGGGAAATTGGAAGGGGAGGTGAACCATGAGAGACTATGGACTCTGAAAAACAATCTGAGGGGTTTGAAGAGGTTGGGGGAACCAGGTGGTGGGTATTACAGAGGGCACGGATTGCATGGAGCACTGGGTATGGTGCAAAAACAAGGAATACTGTTATGTTGAAAATAAAAAAAAAAATCATAATCAGAGAAGGAATATGGGAAAGTCCTCTCAGGCCTTAAAGGAATAAACTGGTTTAATGAGGACTACAAAATAAATAAATAAATAAATTTAAGTTTCATATTAAAACAAACTATTTTAATATTTAAAAAAATAAAATAAAATAAAAAATAGGGGCAGCTGGGTGGCTCAGTCGATTAATGTCTCTGCCTTTGGCTCAGGTCATGATCCCAGAGTCCTGGGATCAAGCCCCACATCAGGCTCTGCTCAGCAGGGAGCCTGCTTCCTCCTCTCTCTGCCTGCCTCTCTGCCTACTTGTGATCTCTCTGTGTCAAATAAATAAAATCTTTTAATAAATAAATAAATAAATAAATAAAACAGAAAATAAGTAAAATCCCTGTTAAAGATCCCATGGGGCCCATGAATGATGCTGACTTCTCTGTCTCCTTTGTGGGTACAGCTATCTGGGAATGGGCTGAGTCGTCCTGGGACCTGTGCCCCTCCCAGGCCGGGTGGAGAGACCTGGCTGGTCCAGAACAGTAGTGAGGGGCCACCTGTGGGGCTTGAAGCTTGCACTAAATAAAATGTAAAATGAGGCTCCTCAGTTACATTTGTGGCCTTTCCGTGCTCAGTACCACCCATGGCTGGGGGCTGCCAGCTACCGAATTGGACAGAGAGGACAGAACTCTTTTCTCATCCCTATAAGTCTCATTGGCTCACCTTTGTGCATCAATCCTTGCAGCAGAGAACGGCACACACTGGGGATGGGATTAAGGAGGGCGCATGTTGTGACGAGCACTGGGTGCTATATGTAAGTGAGGAATCACCAAATTTTACTCCAAAAAACAATATTGCACTCTGTTAATTACCTAAAATTTAAATTAAAAAAAGGAAAGAAAGAAAGAAAAGGGCATACCCTGGGTGAGCCATGGGGGGAGGCGCCTAAACCACTTGGGGCAGGGGTAGGGATGGGGAAGGCAGTGGAGAATGCAGAAGCTTCTCTGAGCAGGACTGAGCCCAAATCTCACCTCGACCTCACCTTGAGTGTTGGTGCTCCCTACGTCTGAGGCCCCTGCTTCTCTTTCCGCATGTCTCCCCGAGTCATCTCCTCCACTCCATGGCCTCATTGACCCCAGTCCTCAGAGATGCTCAGGCAGGCTGTCTGTACAGTTCAGTGGACCTCAAAGTACATTAGATCCCCTTTGAGGGTTTCATAAAAGACAGGCTCCTGGCCCTTCCCTTCCTTTCTGATCAGCAAGCCCGGAGATGGGGCCAGAGAAGTTGCATTTCAAACAAACCCCAGGTGACAGGTGCCCCTGAGGCTGCTGGTCCAGAAACCACACTTAGAGGATCTTGGTATGGCCTAAAGATCCTGTTCACTGATTCATTCATTCCACAAGTATCCATGCAATGCTACCATGAGCCAAGGGCTCCTTCTAGATGTGAGCAAACCAGGCAAGTTCCCTGTGCTAGGGGGCTTACATTCAAGTGAGGGGAGACAGCCAGTCAACAAAGCTGTGTGGAGGGGTGATGAATGTTATGAAGAACAAACCACGGCAAGGGAAAAAAGCTATTTTATAGGATCATCAGGAAAGGCCTCGCTGATCAGGTGACATTTGAGCAAAGACCTCAAGAAAGCAAGGGAGGTGCAAAGATATGACCCTGGCCTTTCTGCCCATCTTCAGCTTTTTAATTAGAACAGTATGACTCGTGGTTAATATGCTTAACAATCAAGGTCATCAGTCTCTGTGACAGCTAGGTTTGAAGGCAAATTCGATGGTGTATGTGTGTGCATTTTGTTAAAAAGAAGCCTGATGCTAAAGGCCTTACATTTCATCTGGGCGGGGCACCTGGGTGGCTCAGTCATTAAGCATCTGCATTTGGCTCAGGTCATGATCCCAGCGCCTGGGATGAGCCTTGCTTCAGGCTCCCCGCTGGGAGGGAAAGCTGCTTCTCCTCCTCTCACTCCCCCTCCCCCTGCTTGTGTTCTCTCCCGCTGTCTCCCTCTCTCTCTCTCTCTGTCAAATAAATAAATAATCTTAAAAAAAAAAGAAAAATTGCATCTGGGCTGGCAGTTCCACCTCTGGGCCCCATCTGTCCACACTCCTCTCTGAGAGGTGAGGGGTCCCAAAGGTGATGAGGGGACTGCCAAAGAGCCGGTTTCAACTTCTAGACGAGGCCTTAGGGCTCCCAGGGCAGATGGCTCCAGCCCATTTCTAGGGCCTTCAGGCTTCTTCCCTGCCCACCCCCACCCCAGGCAAAAAGGCGACTGAATAGGAGCGGGGTAGCCTGGGACCTGGGATGTCCTTACACAAGCGCCCCAGGTCCGACCGACGAGACACAGAACGGCCACGGGAGGAGAGGCTCGGTGTGCCTCGTCGTCCCGGTTCCGCGAACGTCTGCGGCAGATCGGCCAGCCTCAACGGATGAGCCGAACGCTCCGTACCTCTCTGCAGCTCTGGGGTCCAGACAGGAGAGTGTAAGTCAGTCACATGTGTCCACCGTTGCCGGAGGAATAAGCAGTGTTTAGGGCCACAAGTCAGGAGCCTCTCCGCCCGCACGAGGAACGCGGGCTCGCGGGTGGCCCCGGCCCCTCGCCCACGCGCAGGCCTCGCCGGAAGCGCAAGGTGCGTGCTGTCCACCCCTCACTTTCCTTTTCAACACGTGGTATCTTTTTAGGCCCAACTGTCCCAGGCCTTAAACGGGGTTTCGGATAAGGCGAAGGAAGCAAAGGAGTTTCTGGTCCAGCTGAAGAACATCCTGCAGCAGATCCAGGTGAGCCGAGCCCAGCCCCGGGCCGGGCGGTCAGGGCAGGACGCAGGCGGCAAGTGGCAAGGGGGAAGGGATGGTCCCTGCGGCGAGCATGTGGTAGGTGAGGAACATAGAGGGTTTAACTGCCCTACCGCGTAGCCTCAAAATATCGCTGTGTCACTTACGAAATCCGTGCGTGTGCGGAGCACCCATGCTGTGTCACACACCAAGCTGAGCACAGGTCACGCAAGCACTGTCCCCGGCCTCAGCGGCCCGTGGGCAAGAGTGCGCATGCGTGCGCTCTACGTGGATGCGCATGCGTCTGCGCTACGTGAGTGCGCATGCGTGGAGGGCCTGTTCACAGCGTTGAGGAATTCGGAAGGTATTTCCTTGTCTGCACGGAGGGGGGCAACCCAGGGCACTGCATTCTTGATCTTGGATTAGGTCCACACTCGTGACTGCCTTTCAGTTTAAGCAGCTCTCTAAAGGCCGTATGTGCCAACACAGCCACATTGTGGGGTACGGGGCGGGTGAGAGCCGCAGCGCAGGTCACCGCGCGAGGTCGGAATCCACGCTGGTCTCAGAGACCCCGAAGGATCCTAAGACGGAGACAGATTTTGCTGCCGGATCACTGTATTGGGGGTTGTTTTCCCGTCTTCCGATTGCAGAAAGCAAAAGTATACATTGTAGAAATTTTGGGACATAGAGAACAATAGACAGGACTTAGGAGTAGTTCACCGTTATCTCTTCACTGTAGGTGACTGCTTCACGCTTTTAATAGGTTCCTCGTGACTGACACACATGTGCGTGCAAGCAGTGTGGAATTGTGCTGTACGTGTGTGTGCATGCGGTGTGGAATTGTGCCGTACATGTGCGTGCACGTGGTGTGGAATTGTGCTGTACGTGTGCGTGCACGCGGTGTGGAATTGTGCTGTACGTGTGCGTGCACGCAGTGTGGAATTGTGCTGTACTTCACTTACAAACTCCCTTTTTTCCCTTTCCAGTCTTTCATGAGCATTTTGCACAGCTCCCAATGAACAAGGTTTGAACGATGTGCCAAGAATCGTGGTACCCCTGACCTGACTCACATTAACATTGTTTCTAGTGTAATAATGTTACAGATGTCTCTGCCAAGAACTTCTCTGAAATACTTCTCTGTGTCTCGCTCTGGGCACAATTCAGCGTGTCTTCTCCCTAAAGCTCTCTGCCTCCCCCAGGAAAATGGGCTGGACTACGAAGCCTGCCTGGTTGCTCAGTGTGACGCTCTGGTCGACGCTTTAACTCGGCAGAAAGCCAAGCTGCTCACCAAGGTCACCAAAGAGAGGGAGCACAAGCTGAAGGTAGGTACTTGGGTGATGACAACCTGGCCCTCCTCACAGCCTCTGCACCACACGTGCGGATGCACACAGTAGGCGCTAGGTCAGTATTAGGTGAGTGAAAGAATGGATGAATGAATGAATGAATGAATGAGGCGAAGAAGGGATGAGCAAGCTGACCCCACACCTGCTCACACTCACATGACTTTCCCCAAAGCCATGCTCTCCCTGCAAAGCTGCATTCGGGTGCCCTGACTCCTGCTCAGGTCAGAAGTACCCTTTCCCATCTTCTCTGAGGTCCTGTTGTTTGTCTAAGGGACTCTGCATCTCACCTTGTAGAGCAGAAGGGACCAGTGATGGTGGCGAGGCCATGCTCTCCTCAGGTCATCAGCTCTGCCACCTTCTTCAGGCCCTCTCTAATATCTCACGCCCTCAGTAACGAGCAGTAATAATATGACCAGTGTCCACCGTGGGAAGGGGAGGGTTTCCCCTCACAGGACACTGGGCTCCTGGTGTGAGCAGGTCCACAAACACTCTGCATCAATGGAGGACTGCTTCATTGTCTTGGTGGGGGGGGGGGTTCAACCTATTTTGTAGATATTTCCCAAGTGAATTAGGAAATAATACTTTCAAGGAAAGAAAGAAGGAGTGTTGGGGATGGTCCGTGTTTTCAAGTGAAGCAGCTGAACCGATCGAATTATCCATGACCACCAACAGGAGAGAAGTAAGACAAGAAGTTGGTCACTGGTCCCATGGGCAGTTTCAGACTGTGTACTTTCTCGGCTATCCAGAGCTCAGGAACAGAGTTCGTTCTGTTGGGCATTGAGTCCTCTTGCTGGGAAGTGAGTCCATTTATCCCCCAGGAGAGAGGGCCCACGGAGCTCAGGAGCCAGCACCCGGAGGAGAGGGCGCAAGGTGGTCACCTCTCCCAAGGCTTTCTCCATGCGAATTCTCCAACCCCCACTACAGCCTGGCTGTTCCTCCTCTGAAGAAATGATTCCTGGGGGTTCTTTTTATCGCAGATGGTGTGGGACCAGATCAATCACTGTACACTGAAGCTGCGCCAGTCAACGGGGCTGATGGAGTACTGCCTGGAGGTGATCAAGGAGAACGACCCCTCCGGCTTCCTGCAGGTGAGGCTGGGCTCGGAGAACAGAGACAGGCTTGGCTTCCCACCTCCAAGTCCGCCACTGCTCCTCAAACTAGCCAAAGTTTGGGGAGAGTCCCTTCCAGTGAATTGAGCAGATACTCCTTTGCTCAGAGATTCTGGAAGACCCAGGTTCTCATCTTGACTCTGACTCTCACTAGCCGTGACCCTGGTTCTGGGTCGTTGTTAAAAGAGGGAGTCAGATGTCATCATTTCTAGGGCCAGAATGTCATGAGTTTATGCTTTGGCTTCCAGAGACCCCGGCTCAACATTTTCCCCACAAATGGGAGAGGACAGTCTTTGCCAGACAAGCTGGAAAGACTGTAATGGAGGAAGTGAGTTAGCAGAATCCGCATGGCCCATTATCTCAGTGGGCAGAGTCCTGCAGGTGTAGACGGATGGCCACTGCCCACAGAGCCCATGCAGCCTTGCTGGGGCATCCCCCCAACAGCCAGGCTGACTCAGGGCCACGAGCATCTCTCAAGAACATGACGGTGATTCAGATGGTGGCTCAGTCCTCTGTCTGTAGGGAAAATGATGAATCCCCTTGGCTAGTCCCCAAGTAGTGCACACGGGATCGTGGCTCCTCAGGGACATGTGCAAGTGTCAGAATGAGCAGGACTTTCCAGCAGAGGAGAGCAGAGCTGGGGGCTTGATGGGGAGTTTGAAACAGAGCAGCTTGGAGAGAATATTCTCTGGAGAATGAGCTTCGAAATTCTGGAGCTATAGGAAGCACTTCCTTCAGACCCCGGAACAAACCACTTTTATGTTTCATTTTACAAAGTACTAGATCTAACAAAAGCAGTACAGTGAAGAAGGCTTTTGCATATTTAAAAAAGTATCATTGGCTTCACAAAACGGTTTGGCCTGATATCTTTCAATAGCAAGTTCTTCTTCACATGTAGATGATCACTTTTTCAAAATACAATTCAAATGGTAACAGTGCATTTTTATTTTCCCAGTGTCATGCTGGCAGGGATCCTATCTTCTCCACCGTGGCCTGAGAGCCCATGGCCAGTGCAGCCCCTTCCCTGTCCCCAAGCCACAGACACCAAGCCCCTCCTCCTTTCCCACCACTTACTGCATGATTTTTCCTTTGCAAATCAAAACCCTAAACTCTGTGCTCCCCTTTAAGATCTCAGATGCTCTGATCAAGCGTGTCCAGGTGTCTCAGGAGCAGTGGGTCAAAGGCGCCCTGGAGCCAAAAGTGTCTGCGGAGTTTGACTTGACCTTGGACAGCGAGCCGCTGCTGCAGGCCATCCACCAGCTGGACTTCATCCAGATGAAATGTAGGGGTGAGCCGTGGTTGGCCCAGTTCAGGCCACGCTTCTTTCAGAAGGAAGAGGCATCCACTCTGAGGGGCAGCTCAGTGTCACTGGAAGACTGGTGACAGGCAGAGGGAGCAGAGGGGGAGGGGAGAGGATGCCAAAGTTACAGGCCCAAGTTCAAGTCCCAGCTCAACCACCCACTAGCTGGGTGGCCTAGGGTGGGGAGCACCCCAGTCTGAGCCTCAGTTTTCCCATTTGTAAAAGAGGATTCGTTATTTATTCAGACACTTAGTGAGCATGCCATGTGTCAGGCACTATTCTAGGTGCAGGACACAGCTTTGAACAAGTCAACAAACTCCTTTGTAAGATTGAGCTGATAGTCTAGAAGAGGAAATAGACAGTACCCAAATATATCATACAATGTCCAATGGAGAGAGATGCAGTACAGGAGAAGAATATTCCAGGTGGCAGAGGGATGGCAAATGCAAAGGTCCTGAGGCAGGAGTCCATTTTCTGGGTTCCAAGAAGAGCAAGAAGGTCAGAGGTGAGAGCAGAATGAGTAAGACGGAGGGTGCTAGGAGGTGGAGGAGAGCCATGGAAGACACAGGCTAAGGCTCAAATATTGCGTGACTTGCACCATGTCACAAGATTAGCAAGTAATGGCCAGAACCAAAGCCAGAGTCCTATTCAAAAGGCTTCCTCTCCAGGGACATCAAAAGTACATTCCGGAGAGGCCATAAAGCTGTTTGGTTTTTTAAAACCAAAATATCAAAGGACGGGGTGCCGCACCCACAGGATCTATGAGGGCAGGAAATCCTTACCTGCAAAATAAGTGGCTTTTTTTACACTAAGGACGATACAAGTGTCTTGCTCATCTGCGTGCCCACTCCCACACTTGGTTTGCACCTCAGGCGAGGTTTGGAAATGCTGCCTGCCGATGAGATGTGGTACGGAGGAACGGGGAGCCTGGCAGAGGATAGGGAGGTGCAGCAGAAGAAGCGGTGGCCCTGGAAAGGGGGGTGTGAAAGGAGGAGGCTTGGAGCTGCTCCCAAGGCTCGGATACTGCTCTGGGATTGGGTGGTGGGTTCACAGAGGAAGTGGGAGAGGCAACAGCAGAGCCTAGGATGGAGAGGGGACCCCTACATGCTTGTAAACTGAGGCCCGGGGAGTCGGCTCCTCTCAGCCAGCCCTGAGACCAAGTCTGTGAACAAGACAGGGCTGCACCCAGCTAAACTACCAGTGCCACTTGGAAAACAGCCCGAATCACAGGAGCCAAACCGAAACCTCTGGTGTTTAGAAATCCGGTGTTGTGATTTTCCCTTCGGCAGCTGTCGGTGTGGACTGGATTTCTCCCAATCTTGCCATGATAGAACTTAGGATACATTTGATTCACATCCCTAATTCCAAGGGTTGGCTGTTGGCTACTCCAGGATTGCCTCTCCCTCCCGGATCTTGTTCCCTGGACCTTTAACGTTTAAATGTTGTCTCTGGGCCAGACGTTTAAATGTGTCTTTGAATTCTGCATGCCCCCCACCCCAACGGCCCCTTCCCAAGCTGCAGTGTAAGCCGCCCATTGGATCCACAGAGAGGGTCCACACAGGCCTTTGCGTGGCCAGGAGGCACGCAGGGACATGTGGAACCCGGCTCTGTGGGAATCCCTCGTGGGTCCCTCGTGGGTCTGAGAATCAAAACCAGGGGTTCTCAGTGAGCACGTGGGGAGGAGGTCAGCCCTTCCTTAGGGCTCCAGACACAGAGGCGCGGAGGCCTCTGCCATGCCTTTCCCATCCCCCAACCCGGCTCCAGGAAACGCTGGGAATGCGCGGTCACCAGTCACCTGTGCTTGCCCTCGCCCCCACCTGCCTTGAGACAGAGACTCCCGGGGCTGAGGTGTGCCTGCGAGAGGTTGGGAGGGACCGCAGGGTGGCCACCATTCCTTTTGAGGCCTGGGAGCTGCTGCCTTGGGGGAGGAGAGTCGACACAGGTGTCCAGTGCCCTGCAAGGGATCTGGGCACTGAACCAGCAGTTCCTGTCACAGTGCCGCTCAGCCCCCTGCTGCAGCTGGAGAAGTGCTGTACCCACAACAACAGCGTCACGCTGGCCTGGAGGATGCCACCCTTTACCCACAGCCCCGTGGACGGCTACATCCTGGAGCTGGACGATGGCGACGGGGGCCAGTTCCGGGTGAGGCCCTGCTGCTTGTTTGGAGGGTTCCTAACTCCGAGGCCTCTGGACTAGCCTGTGGGGCTGCCCTCAGCTCCAGTGCTGCCCCTAGAGGGCACTGGCCCAAAAGCAGAGGGCTGGTGGGTCTGGACCCTTGGGAGCTGGGGCCATTCCAACAAGGGCTAGGTCTGGGCAGCCCCCGCAGGCAGAGATGGCAGCCACAAAAAATTTAGGACAGCTTTCCTGTGAAGACTGACACAGGTTTGAGGCCAAGGAGGAGCTCAGAGAAGCTGTCACCTGCGCGGATTGACTTCCCAGCACCCCACCAGTGTAGTCCTACCTGTTATTCCACGTCCTCCCAGATACCCCCACTCACGCAGGTCCCCACTCCCTCAATGCCCTGTCGCTCCCTGCCCTGTCTGCCTCGTGGATTGTTCTACCTGGCAAAGTGCTCTGTGTGTGCAGACAGACACTTGGTAAATGGTGGTTGGGTTGGGATGACCTTCTATTCTCATGTTCCCAGTGATGAAATATCATGGGGTTAATAAAGGCTCTTCGTGAGCCAGAGATGGTCTTCTGCTCCCCCATCTGGTAGAGACCCCAGCCCAGACCCCCTAATAGAGCTCTACCTTGAGATTTCACACAGCGAAGCTCAGGTCACTGCCAAGGTGCTTTGTGGACAGGAGACCAGGGAGCACAAACTCTGGGTCTTCTGAGAGTTGCTCCTTTTCCTTCCTGAGGACACTAAGACACACTAGAGCAAACCAGTGCCACCACGACAGTTGTGCTGTCCTGGGGAGCTGTGCCATCTAACAAGTCTTGCCGAAGACCAATACTCCTTTTGTTTCTCTCAAAGGAATTTATGCATTTGTCGTTTCATTTTGTTTGTTTGTTTGTTTGTTTGTTTGTTTGTTTGAAAGGTAGTCTACAAGAACGTAAGACTTGGGGAAAGAACTACAGCATTCCCTTGGGAATTGTTGGGTCCCCTGTGGCTCTGGGCATTTTAGGGAAGAGAGGACAGAGGTCGGGTCTGCAAGGAATGGCAGCAGATCACTCACTGGGCTCAGAACCTCACAGCTCTGTGGCTGTGCAAAGGAGCAAAGACCAGAAAGAGCTCCTGGGCCGGAAACAGGGAAAAGAGCCCCTGCTTCTGAAATGGGAAGAGAAGACTGTTTTAGGGTGTGCAAAGAAGCAGCCACAAATACAGATGGCCTCTCCGCTGTGAGACATGACCAATAATGAAAGCTAGATACGGGGCTAGAATTGATGAGGAGTCGCACGTTATAGGAGGGAGAGTGTTGGCTTTGAATGCAGAGAGGCCTGGACTTGAACCCTGGCTTCCACAGTGGTTCACTCTGATGCTGGGCAGGTTTCCTACCTTCTCCATGTCTCTTCATATATAAAATATAAAAAAATCAATAACACCTTTCAAGGATTGTGTGAGGATTAAAATGCCTGATAGCGTCACACACAGCGATTATTATTAATAACTTGGAATAACAAAGGGAGAGCCAACCCCCTAAACAACCAGATAGGAAACATGTTCAGACAAAGTAGAAACAGTGGCACAGGAGGAGGGCCAGGCTGTGCATTTGGGGAAGTTAAGTGGATAAAGGTGAGTTTGAAGTGAATGGGGAACAAAGTAAGTCCCTACTGAAGGATCTTTGGGGTCCCCTTCAGAAATGTGTCATCCGGGGCACCTGGGTGGCTCAGCAGGTTAAAGCCTCTGCCTTCAGCTCAGATCATGATCCCAGGGTCCTGGGATCGAGCCCCGCATCGGGCTCTCTGCTCAGCAGGGAGCCTGCTTCCCCCTCTCTCTCTGGCTGCCTCTCTGCCTACTTGTGATCTCTGTCTGTCAAGTAAATAAATAAATAAAATCTTTAAAAAAAAAAAAAGAAAAAGAAATGTGTCACCCTCTCAGGAGGCTGTGAGCAACGCAGTTCTGGGGGGAGGGGCGGCAGAAGAGGGGGAGAGGGCGTGGAATGCCCCTTTCAGTCCAAATCAACTTGAACCCACCTGTGCTTGGTCACATGCTTCTGCTGTCCTCTTCTTTCCATCGAATGTACTGACCCTTCTTCTAAAAATATTGGTGATTTAGTCTAGTTAGATGCCTAGCGCATGTTTCCTAGCTTAAATTCCCAGCAAAACCCAAAAATTTTCTCTTGCTCCAACCAAGAAGGAAGTGGGGTTTCTGTACCTCCACCTCCTTGGGGAGACCTGTCTGACTGGCTAGCCTCAACAGAGGCTGGCAACAGAGCCAGGACATTCTCAGGCGGCATGCTGGCTGGCTGCAGACCCACTGTCCCTCCCTGCCTCCCTAGGACCCCCCACACCTCCCCTCCACACAGGCAAAGGGGCTGGCCGGCCAGGGGTCAGACTCTGTGCCCGACTTGGACACTGTCTGCGACCCTGCAGCCACTCATCCAAATTTCTCTGATTCAAGAGCTCTGTTCGGGCACTAGCTCTTTGAATGTCAACATGTCACTAAGAGAAATTTTCCAACTAACCGAGGCATCTCCTGAGTACTCTTGGCTGTCTTTTAGGAAGTGTATGTTGGCAAAGAGACCCTGTGCACCATCGACGGTCTGCATTTCAATAGCACCTACAACGCCAGGGTCAAGGCATTCAACTCCTCCGGCGTCGGGCCTTACAGTAAAACTGTCGTCCTGCAGACGTCTGATGGTAAGCACTCAGGCCTCAGGGGAGGACCAGATTCAGGCACTGGGGACAAGCTTCAGAAGGAGGGCAGGTGGGAACACTCAGCTGTGTAGGACAGAGGAGTGGAGGGATGGAGGGAATGTGGCAGCGGAAGTGTGTGTGTGTCTCCTCCCGCTCCATCCCTGCCCCACTTGCTGTGGCCCCTTGCCTGCACGTCCCCTCCCCCAACAAGCCACCAAAAACGAGCCGGTTCTTCACCCCACTTGCTGGACTGGGAAGGGGAACCAGCAACTGAGAGGCTCAGGGTGACCCAGGGCTGAGAATGGGTAAGAGGTCCTGGAGAAAAGTCCACTGGTCCTTGGGTGTGACGATCCCTTGAATACCTAGTGTGAGAGCCCAGATCTGAGGGTTTACACACCTCGCCGCAACCTTTCAGGTCTCTGGCAACGAGAGCACATGGGCATTCACGGGATTTTGGTCATCTGAGTCCTTAGCAGGGAGTGACGACCTACATAAAGAACATGTTCCAAAAAGCGTCCTCCCCGTTCACCCAGACACGCCCCAGCCTCAGCTGCAGCACCCTGGCGTGACGCCAGTCCTGTTTATTGTCAGCGTGCGTCCCAGCATATCCTCTGGGTGCCCCAAGGGAAATGTGACACGCCTGGTTGGTCTCCCAGGACGGAGGGGAGAGAGGGCAGCAGCAGATGCTCTTGTCAAGGGCACAACTGGAGATGCTTTTCTGAAAGTGGTGCAACCCGCAGGCTCATTTCAGAAATCATGAAGAGGTCACCAGCTGTCTGCCCTCGGGGGCCCCCTAGCCTGGAGAGCAGCGGTCCTTGCCCCACGCACTGTGGTCATAATCTCAGAGCAAGTGCCTCACTTCCCCCAGTTTGAGGGCTCGGAGAACGGAGGAGGCCACTCGATGGGCTGCGGAACAGGAGGATGGAGCTTGGTGACTTTGGTTACATCACTTCACCTCTCTGGATGTCACCTCCCACGCCCACCGTCTTTAACTCACAACCGTGTGTGGAGCATAAGGGAAGGGTGTCCAAGACTCAGACTGCACAAGATGCATTTAGATCTGGGCTCTGACGGCCGAATGTCTGCATTCCTTGGCAAGGTTGGGCTCATGGGATTGAGACGCTGGATGAACACAGATCTGAGAGAGAGAGAGAGAGAGAGAGAGTGTGTGTGTGTGTGTGTGTGTGTACACATGTGCACGAGAACACGTGTGTGCCCAGGTGTTACTCCTACAGGGAAGAACATTCGTCACGGGATGCCAACTTTCTGAGAGATGCAAATGAGGCTTTCTCCGAGCCCAGGGTAGAGACCACTAGAGATTTCCATCCCTGACTCTGCTTCCGTCCTTTCCAGTGGCCTGGTTCACCTTTGACCCCAACTCTGGGCACCGGGACATCATTTTATCCAATGACAACCAGACGGCAACGTGTAGCAGCTACGACGACCGGGTGGTGCTGGGCACGGCGGCTTTCTCCAAGGGCGTGCACTACTGGGAGCTGCACGTGGACCGGTACGACAACCACCCGGACCCCGCGTTCGGGGTGGCCCGGGCCAGCGTGGTCAAGGACATGATGCTGGGCAAGGACGACAAGGCCTGGGCCATGTACGTGGACAACAACCGCAGCTGGTTCATGCACTGCAACTCCCACACCAACAGGTGCGCTGTGGTGGGGCCTGCAGGGGCGGGGCCCGCCGGCAGCGTCCCTGCAGCTGTCCCTGATGTCAGGCATCGGCGGGAGGTCGGAGGGGAGAGGTGTTGCAGCTAATTGGTGTCCAGTGTCCCTGTGGAAGTGAGTGTTTGCCTGCAGAGCCCATCGCAGAGACTAGAGCAGCCCCAGGGCACGTGGCTTTATGGGACACTCGGCAAACCCCATGACCAGGTTTTGCCAGGCCCCTAGGCTGTCCTTCCCTTCCCAGTTCTGCTCCCCTTTCCTTTATGCACTGTTAGCTGGGGCCCAAGTCCCCACGCAGCCGGTGCCCTCAAGGCTGTGACCAGGTCTCTGCAACGGGAGCAGGTGCCATTGGCCAGCTGCTTCTTCACAAACCACAGAGGGGCCTGGTCCAGAGCCCCCAGCTCTATCTCTACCTGCTTAAACCAAACAGGGCCCAGATACACTGCCCACGAGAGGAATAACAGGAAGCACTTTTTATTTTATTTTATTTTTTCAGTGTTCCAAGATTGTTTATGCACCACACCCAGTGCTCCATGCAATCCATGCCCTCCTTAATACCCACCACCAGGCTCACCCAACCTCCCACCCCCCGCCCCTTCAAAACCCTCAGTTTGTTTCTCAGAGTCCACAGTCTCACATGATTTTTCCCTCCTGATTTCCCCCAACTCCTTTCTCCTTTCCATCTCCCAATGTCCTCCATGTTATTCCTTATGCTCCACAAATAAGTGAAACCATATGATAATTGACTCTCTCTGCTTGACTTATTTCACTCAGCACAATCTCCTCCAGTCCCGTCCATGTTGCTACAAAAGTTGGGTATTCATCCTCTCTGATGGAGGCATAATACTCCATAGTGTATATGGACCACATCTTCCTTATCCATTCGTCCGTTGAAGGGCATCTTGGCTCTTTCCACAGTTTGGCGACCGTGGCCATTGCTGCTATAAACATTGGGGTACAGATGACCCTTCTTTTCACCACATCTGTATCTTTGGGGTAAATACCCAGTAGTGCAATTGCAGGGTCATAGGGAAGCTCTATTTTTAATTTCTTAAGGAATCTCCACACTGTTTTCCAAAGTGGCTGCACCAGCTTGCATTCCCACCAACAGTGGAAGAGGGTTCCCCTTTCTCCACAACCTCTCCAACACATGTTGTTTCCTGCCTTGTTATTTTGGCCATTCTAACTGGTGTAAGGTGGTACCTCCATGTGGTTTTGATTTGAATCTCCCTGATGGCTGGTGATGATGAACAGTTTTTCATGTGTCTGTTAGCCATTTGTATACATGGCGCCTGAGGCTTACAGTATCTCATTCAGTTCTCACCAGTATACAAAAGTCCTTTTACAGATTCTAGGAAGGTCTTGGGTTAAGCAAGTGTCCCAAGTCACAGCACTACCTCGAGGCGCTGTCAGGACTTAGCTCAGAGTCCCACCTCCGCTTCTGTGTGGGGTTGGGGAGCAGGTGGGACCCTGGGTAGGGGGCTGCGGTAGGGGAGCCCTGCACCCACCCAAGGCAGAAGCCCCACTTGGGTGGGAAGCCCGTGTGTGCGACTCGGACCGGTCTGTACCGCCACCCTGTGGTCAGTGTCTGAATAGCACCAGGGGCCGGCTCCAGTTCCTTTTCTCCACCCTGGGCTCAGCACACCCGGGGGGAACCTGCCCTCTTGGGAAGCCCTTTTCCAGCCAGCACCCCATGTTTTTCCCACGACCTTCCTCATGACCTTGCTCTCTGCCCCTCTATCAGCCTGCAGCTGGTGAGCTCGTGCCCCATCAGGAAGAGGGTAAAAATGGGTTTTTTTGTCAGCACGGAGCCGCTGGGCTGGGGGTAGAGACCTCAGCCCTCAGTGGAGGGAAGGGCGTCTGGTGGACCCGCTTCTGACACGGAGAGGAAGCGGGTCGGCCAGAGCCCCCGCAGCACAGTGCAGCTCACCGATGCTTCTCGAGGAGCGGACGTGAACTCCCACCTTGGCCAAATGTGCGATCAGGGATGCTTATCGGAGCGTCATGACTTAGCCTCAGGCTCCACCGCTGGCGCCCACAGGATGGCGACTCCGACAGGGGACTTGGTCACGAGTCCCTGGGCTGTTTCTGAGATGAGCTGAAGCCCCATGGACCTTCTGAAATGTCCTGGAGGTCTGGCTGGCTGTCTCTCTGTGGCTCTCAACCTCTCACGGGTTAAAGCTGTCCAGGGCACCAAGTTCGTTCCTTTCCTTGGCAGATAAAGGAGCCTTCCCAACCCACTTCAGGTTTCCAAGTGGGATCTGCTCATCAAAACCCGAAAACTCCGTGGGGGTCCAGGTCTCAGGGACTGTGAGGGTAAACGGGACGGAATAAGCTGGTTCCCCCAGGGTAAGGAAGCACACAGGAGGGGTAAGGCCTTCCTGTGTGGCCCTTAACTGGTGAGTGCGCTTCAGGAAAAGTCTCATAGCCCGGAAGAAGAGCCCCCTGCATGGCCAGGGGCGCTGTGTGTCGGGGAGGATATTCCGAGCATCCTTTCAGTGACTCAGAGCCATCACCTCCATCCCAAGCTGGGTGTGGTTGGTGATGGGGCTTCCTGGGGCTTCTCTTCCCAGAACGGAAGGTGGCGTGTGCAAGGGGGCCACTGTCGGCGTGCTCCTGGACCTGAATAAGCACACTCTGACCTTCTTCATCAACGGGCAGCAGCAGGGCCCCACCGCCTTCAGCCACGTGGAGGGGGTCTTCATGCCGGCCCTCAGCCTTAACCGCAACGTGCAGGTACTGCGTATCCTCGAGGCAGGAGCCCATCTGGCGGCTCCCCTCGGGGCTCGGGGGCTTCCAGAGGGCACTTGGATGATTGGGCTGTAAGGCAGCTGACTGTCGTGTGCCCTGGCAGAGAGCCACCTCCCCTCAGCCCACCTTCCCTGGAGACAGTCTCTCCGGCGTGATCAAGTCTCGCTTACTCTCTTGAAATAAGCACAGGCTCTAAGCCGGTGGCCAGGTGTGTGCCGGGCCTTCCGGGCAAGGCTCTCCCCTGAGAGGAAAAACACACAAGTGGGTTGGAAGAGACCTGTCCGAGGGGCTGTGAGTTTCCTTCTGCTCCCTCTCACCCTTCTCTGCTCCCTCTGGTTCCCATGTGAAGCAGGCAAGAAAGATGTCCTTTGAGATCTCAGTGCTGGGCCGTCCCTGGGGAGGGCTCAGGAGGCCGCAAAAGGATAGAGACAAAATGGGAGCCCAGGTGGGTGTGTGTCGGGGGGAGAGTAATGTGGAGGCAGCACCCTTGGCCTCTGGCAGAGCCCTCCTCCCCCTGGGGGTCCTGCTTTGTGGTGCCCACTGGCTCTGAGTGTTGACAGGGCTGTGTCCGTCACTGATGGATTGATTTGTACCTCCACTCACGGGAGGGCTTTGAGGCAGCCTGAAACGTGGGCTGTCCTCCCACCTGGTTAATAGAACAGGTGCCGGAAAGGCACGGGGGCCACGGAAAGAAAGCAGAAATAAATACATAACCTCGAGGGCCATACGGCTGCTGCAACAGAGCCTCAGCCTTGTCTGGGCTCCTGGCTGCCAGGACAAAGTGGGCCATCCGGGCACAGACCAGCTCCTCGGGGCAAACTCGTGGACACTGCGGGAGTGAAATTGAGCCACACAGGAAACAGCATAGCCCATGAGAGAGAGAAGCCCTCGGGATGCTGCCTGTGGCCACGCACTGTGCTCTGTGAGCACTTGGTGTTCTCATGGTGGCCTCCCCCACCCTCACTCAGCCCGCCTTCTTTTCCAGGTCACCCTGCACACGGGACTGGAAGTGCCAACAAACCTGGGGCGGCCCAGGCTGTCCGGCAACTAGCCTCCCAACTCCAACTGCTCACCGGCATCTGGCAAGAGCCCCCCCCACCCCTCACTACGTTCAAAGAACCCACAAGGGTAGGACGATCGTGTCACAGGGGCAGCCCCAGCAGCCACTGAGTATCTTAGAGAAAAGTTTTCTTTGGGAGATGCGGAAGAGGTCTGCGAGCCATGCTTGTTGGGGCGTCTGGTTAAACTGGCCACTTGCGAAACTGACCACTGGTCGGTGGTGAACGTGGTTGTGTGTGTCCCTTTCATTCCTCCTGGACATTGCAAATACTCCCAAAGAAGGACCTTTCTCATGTTTCCTGCCATCTGTTTTCAAAGCTCATCTTTTGGGGGAGGGAGGCACGAGGAGGGCAGACTGGCACCCTGAGAGCAGGAGGCAGGAAGACAGTTTGGATTCCCATGCTCCAAGTGTTGACCCTTTGCCAGGACACCACTCAGTCCCGAGGCTGCAGGTTCTCACCTTCGCCAGGAAATGTGATCCTTTTGCTTCTAGGTCCTGGAGGTTCCACTCGGTTATGCCCTTGCAAACCTCATCCAAGGTCGATAGAAAGGGGCACTGATATGGACCTTCACCACTCCCACCGAACTGTTGAGAACCTTTTAAAATGGTTTTCTTTGGTCCTTCGTTAATCAACCAGTCTCTGTCTCTCTCTCTCTCTCTCTCTCTCTCTCTATGTGTGTGTGTGTGTGTGTCTGTCTCTGTGTCTCTCTCTCTCTCTCTTTCTCTTGCACGCATGCGCGCGCACACACACCACACACGCCCGTAGTTTGCTAAAATTCATTCACTCGGTTATTCTTAAACACAAAGGAAAACACGGACATCGGAATGACGGTGTGAGGAGTCGTCACCTGGTGGCTCTTTCTGGAACTGCAAGCCTGTCTGAGTTGCTCTCTTCCAGGCCGGGGACCCCCCTCCCCAACTCAGAGCAGGAAAGGTGGGGGGCCCTGGGGAAGCCGCTTAGAGCCGCCTCCCTTTGCTTGGAAATCCACCCTACTGTCATCCTGGAAGCAGGAGGTGGCCCCAGGGGCAGGCGTGGTTCTGCTCTGGCGGGGAAGGGGGGCAGGTCCTCCGAAGAAGGCAGGAAACAGCAATATCAGCGAGTTCCTCGCCCCTCAGTCTCCCAGGGGGAGCTTGGGTGTCCCGAGCTCTACAGGACCAGGTGGGGCCTCCTTGCTGGGAACACAGACCTTCTCCCAGGAGACGCGCGGGAGTGATTTGCGTCTCTCGGAAAGGGAGCTCGCTTTCGGGGCTCTGAGCCTGGAGCCTGCCTTGCTCCTGTCCCCAGAGCACCTTCCCGTCCTCTTCTTCTTTTCCTCCCTGTCACCTGCCACCCCCACTTTCCATCTGGTAGTGAAACGTTCTGTCTCCTTTTTTTAAAAGAATCTATTTTATCAAGCATTTTATTTTGTCCACTTGCTGGATCGGATTTTTATAAAACTCAGCCCGTAAACCAGCAGCAACCGTGTTGACTCGGTTCTATCTGCTCGTTGAGACGCTGCCCTTGCTTTCTGAGTCTCCCCGGCCGATGCTGTGTAGACCCTGCCCCTAGCAGCAGATCCGACAATCCTACCTCAGAGCCCGCGCCCTTGGATTGCAAGGCTGCCTTGTCCCGGCCCTGTGGGCAGGTGTGGCGGGCTAGGCCAGCCGTGGCATCTTCAGGAGCTGCCTGGTGCTGTCTCAGCCTCTGTGCCGGTCCTGGCAGCCACCTGCCAGGGATGCTGAGGTCCTGCCTCTTCATTCTCCGCCTGCTGCGTGGTTCCTTGGGTGCACGGAGGCACTCCTTGTCGTGTCCCAGAGCTCCACCAGATCCCCCCGCTGGGGATGTCCCTCCAGGACCCCAGGCTACCGCCTGTCCTCCCGGCAACTGCCTCTCTCCTCTTTGCTTCCACTTGCCTTTGGTTCGCTCCTTAGCCATAGCTCCGGGTGGATTCAGCTTGGAAGGCAGAGAGGATTCCTAAAGCTTGGAGGACACAGAGGAGCCACGGCCTTCCTGGGGCTGATGAAGCTTGGCTGATGGGTCCAGACATATCAGCTGTGGGAGAAGAACCACCAGTGCCCTGGGAGTGACACCAGGAGTGAGTGTGGCTGGGAAGGTGGTGGTGGCGGTCTGTAGCAGGGTCCCAGTGCAAGGCTGGGGAGCACCCAGAGCGCCCAAAGCTGGCCCCGGCTCTGCCTCATTGGAGAGAAGCTGCTCCAGGTCAGTCAGCTGGACTTGGTACCACGCTCAGGACAGCCAGCGCCTCGGTCAGAGGGAGATAGGAACAAGGAGAATGGCAGGGGGTCTCTTTGGGAAATAAAAGGTGGTTTTCCAGAGGGAAGCTTCCAGAACCCCTCACTCCTGTGAGGGCCCAGAGCAAGCACCTTGCTACCTTTGCCATCTCCTCCAGGAGCCCAGCAGCAATACGGCCGATGCCAGGCCACCTGTCAGGCTGTCCTACAGCCACCTCTCCTGTCCTCAGCACAATACACCTTTCAGAGACCAGGACGGACTGAAGAGAGAAGGCAGGTCCATGCCACACACCTGTGTTTTTGAGCGACCAGCAAAATGAAGAATGAATCATCAACAGCTCGGGGCTTTACGTCACCCTCCCAGGAAGCCCCTGGGATGTGGAGTCGAGTTGACCAGTAATGGGTTTCTTACCTGCCATCGAATTCCCTGTCCCTTTACAACGAACGTGGTGGCATTTTTGTACATAAAATTATATCAAGACGATGCTTGTTTGTTGGCTGGCCAAGGGATAACTTGGTGTTTGTCTGTTGAGCAGTTTCGGTGAGAAAGGAGTTCAAAGTAACTTAAATCGTCAAGTTCCATTGCGTTGTAAATAATGGCTCTCTAGCATAGTTCTGCGGTTTGTTCTTTGCTGGTGAGCAAGTTTGGTTAAAGTGTATGCCTTTCCTTCCCTTTTTAAAAGTATCCTAATAGCAACTCACTGCATAGCATCCTAGCTCCCAATTCAAAGCAAGGTAAGATAGCCCACGCAGCCCTGCCTCCCCCTCTCTGTCCTGTTTGGGAAAATAATGATTCTAATTAAAGTGGACATCAGTAATCCTGACCCACAAAGTAAATGACCTAAAAACTATAAAACTGTATATGATTCTAGGCTGAATCCTCAGCCATATATGAGTTCCGTGGTTGTGACAGCACTCTCAAGCGCCCCATGGCCCGCTGAGAGGGAGGAGGCTGGGGAGTGAGCCTGGGGATGGGAACAGGCTCCTCCTCCTTGCTCTGGGCGCCCAGGAACGCCCCACCTTTCTCTGCCCACCAGAGCACTCCCCGGAAAGGATGAGGACGCAGGTCCTGCGTGTCATCCTTCCGGGGATATTTGCATTTTAGCCTTAATTCTGACTGCAAGTGAAAGGCTCGCCCCCCACCCCTTGAAGGCGTGCTCCAGCAGAGGGGTGGGCAGCTCTTACACAAAGCTGTTGCGGGTTCGACCCCGTGGCCATCTGCTCATGGTGAGGTAGTGAGGGTAGGGAAGAGCCCTGGGCAGGGCGGGATTCAGCATGGCAATGCTGGAAAACACTGTCACAAGGCCCGTCCATGATGCCGGGTTCCTCGGTGTCAGCAGTATTGACATTTTGGGGTGGGTGACTCTCTTACTGTGGGCTGTCCTGTGCGCTGTAGGATGGTTAACTGCATCCTTGGCCTCCACCCCCAAGAGGCCAGTAGCGGCCCCCCCCAAGTTCGCTGCGATGACTACGCGTCTACAGACATTGCCAGCCGTCCCCTGTGGGACATCCTGGGCCGAGAGCCACTGGTTTGTCCTGTGTCCATGTAGAGTGACGGGTGGGGCTTCACCCCAGTGTTAGACAGAAAGCCTGTATCACCGGGCTGTGGGCCTTCCTCCTAACCCCCAAGCCCAGGATGCGCCAGAGGGCTGCGGCATTCCCCCGGCGGGGGAAGCTGGGGGAAGACGGGGTGAGCCGCAAAAAGAAGCCGAGGGGTCAGGTCTCACTTCGTACTCCCTGAGGATGCCCCCCGCTCCACAGCCCCACTCCTAGAAGGCAAACACTTGTTACCTTCTTTTTCCTTGGCCACGTTTGACCAGAAGTAACAGGAAATTCTTAATGGATTTGTGGCCTTTCTCTGGTTTTAAAAATTGAATCCGATCTCCTTAAAAGGTATTTAAGGTCTGCAGTAATTCCAGGAAATCTCCACTTCTGTTTCTCAAGTAAGCTAGTAGCTGTGTTCAAGGGATCGCATTCCTTGGCAGTCCTCCCTGAAGAGAACAGGATCCTGGTGGCTTTAACTTTGAATGGACTGGAAAATCATGGCATGGGTGTGGGCAAATGTCTTAAATCTTTCTGTGCCTCTGTATCCCCACCCGAAAGTGGAACGAGTCATACTAACCTACCTCCTCTGATGTATTGTGAGGATTATAGAATAACACTTTTTAAAGGAAAAAAAATAATAGTCTTTCATATATTGAGTCTAGGCTAATGGTTCCCATTCAGTGAATCAAGCCTGTGTGGTGACTTTTCAGAACGTTCTCTGACCACAGACAGTGTCTTCCATCCCAGCCTAGTAGGACCAGGAGTATGTGTTTATTACACTGTTGCCTGGCCTTGAGGAGGGGAAATTTCGACATGTAAAATAGGCTTCACATGACCATACAAAGCAACAAAACACCCCAAATGTTCCCATTGCCAGTGAGGCCTGTTTTAATGGTACTTTTTGTACAAAGTGCCGTAAACAGGCTGTGTATCAGCATCTCATTGTTAGTCCCAAAGGCATCTGAGTGCAGAAGCCCCCATAAGACCTGGAAAGAGGTTAACCTGCCTTTCCGCCACCTCGGTCACCTTAAGTTCTAGTATCTAAGGTGTCCCCCACCCATCGTGTAACTCCATTGTCTCCCAAGATGTCAGGCAGGGGAGCAGCTCTGAGAACCAATGTCTAAGAGTAAGGCGGGAGGCCCCTGCTGGGTGGTCATCACAGCCCTGGGACTCCGCTTGTACTACCTGCTAAGGGGGGTCTGGCGGGGGTGGGGGTG